ATAAAGATGGATAATAATAAAATAATAGTTATTATTCAACAAGGACTTTTATTTTATTAAGAACTCTAAATAATAATTAAAAATTAAATTATTTATTTTTTAATTTTAATTTTGATAATTATAGAACATATTTGATGCTGCTATAACTTTAAATAGATAGTTAAGATTGATTCAAAGGTATTTAATATTGATTAAACTATTAAGACACGAGTTTTAATAAAAAGAGAAGAGATTGGAAGAAAATAAACATACGTACTTTTATTGAAAAAATTTCAATTGTCACTTCTCTACCCCTTCTAATTTTGCCATATCTCTTTTTCTCTCTCCCATTCTTGGCTAAATTTTTTGAAAGAAAATAGCCATTAATTTTTAAAAAGAAAAAAGAGATAAAATCAATTATCATCTTGTAGTCTAGCATTTCACACCTTGTCCACTCAAGGTTTAAGTTGAAAGCATTCTTGAAGAAAATGGTAAATCTGTTTGATCGAAAATTTAATCGTTAGTGTAATGGTATCTAAAAATAAGAATCTAAAGAAAAAGGTACATTTTTTTCTTTTCTTTCCTTATTTAATAGATTTTTATTTTTCAGATGTAATTATGGTACTTGTAATAAGAATGATATATGTTTTCGCTTGTGTAATTGGATTGCTTGCTTCCTTTATAAAAAAAAAAAAATTTAAATCCATACTTTACACAATTGATAACTTTATTATATAGAGTTATTTTGACTCATTTTGGGAGCTTAAGTAGCTAAATCTTTGACATTTTAGGTTCGAATTTTAGCATTTTAGGTGTTTTTTTAGTTTAAGTTTGATTACTTGTTAAGTGATTAATTTAAGTTATTTTAGTTAAATTTTAAGTTATTTTATTTTAAATTACTTTAAGAGTAGTTATTGCTAATTTCTCTTATGGCTTTTGTAGGAAATTGATGAAAAAGACTCATTTGATGAAAATCAGTGCAAGTATGGTGATAGCTTCATTCGTATATGTTTCAGTATTTTGACCATATCTCTTTCTAAAAAACTCCAAATGAGGTGATTCTTAGACCAATCGAATTATAAGAAGAAGGGATACAATGTTTATGTTCACCAAGTTGCCCAGTTCTGATTGGATCATGGTCATAATATTTGTCAAAATCGAACCATTGCAGCAGTATGTAAAGACAGAATATGCTGCGGTATTTGGAGCCAATCTTTCAATCCAGAAGTCCAATTGATGTGATTCTTAATCCATTAGAAAGTTAAGAGACAGGAATAAAAACTTTTATGTTTATATTTGGCCTAGTTCCTAACATATCAGGGTGAAACTCACGTTTGAAATTGATAGACTGCCATTAGGAGAACAAGAATGCAGCGTTAATGAAAAGAAGCACACATACAAATTTCCAGAGAGCTCAGCGCTGTAGCACTGGAGAAGTAGCGCCGCAGCGCTGCGCGACGTCCCAAAAAATAAGGAAAGTTAACGAGATTGCGGAAATTAGGTTATTTGGAGCCTATTTAA